GTGTACTAGTGTAGTAGTTAGTACACTATTACTAGTTAGTGTACTAGTTAGTGTAGTAGTTAGTGTACTAATGTACTAGTTAGTGTACTAGTGTACTAGTTAGTGCACTAGTTAGTGCACTGGTGTACTAGTTAGTGTACTAGTTAGTGTACTGGTGTACCAGTTAGTGTACTAGTAGTGTACTAGTTAGTGTACTAGTTAGTGTACTGGTTAACTAGTTAGTGTACTAGTTAGTGTACTAGTTAGTGTACTAGTTAGTGTACTGGTGTACTAGTTACTGTACTAGTTAGTGTACTGGTTAGTGTACTAGTTAGTGTACTAGTTAGTGTACTAGTTAGTGTACTAGTAAGTGTACTGGTTAACTAGTCAGTGTACTAGTTAGTGTACTAGTTAGTGTACTGGTGCACTAGTTAGTGTACTAGTTAGTGTACTAGTTAGTGTGGTAGTTAGTGTACTAGTGTACTAGTTAGTGTACTAGTTAGTGTACTAGTAGTGTACTAGTTAGTGTACTAGTTAGTGTACTAGCTAGTGTACTAGCTAGTGTACTAGTTGGTGTACTAGTTGGTGTACTAGTTGGTGTACTAGTTGGTGTACTAGTTGGTGTACTAGTTAGTGTACTAGTTAGTGTGGTAGTTAGTGTACTAGTTAGTGTACTAGTTAGTGTACCAGTGTACTGGTGTACTAGTTAGTGTACTAGTAGTGTACTAGTTGGTGTACTAGTTGGTGTACTAGTTAGTGTACTAGTTAGTGTACTAGTGTACTAGTTAGTGTACTAGTAGTGTACTAGTTAGTGTACTAGTTAGTGTACTAGTGTACTAGTTAGTTTACTAGTTAGTCTACTAGTAGTGTACTAGTTAGTGTACTACTTAGTGTACTAGTTAGTGTACTGGTTAACTAGTTAGTGTACTAGTAAGTGTACGAGTTAGTGTACTAGTTAGTGTACTGGTTAGTGTACTGGTTAACTAGTTGGTGTACTAGTTAGTGTACTAGTTAGTGTACTGGTTAACTAGTTAGTGTACTAGTCAGTGTACTAGTTAGTGTACTAGTTAGTGTACTAGTGCACTAGTTAGTGTACTAGTTAGTGTACTAGTGCACTAGTTAGTGTACTAGTTAGTGTACTAGTTAGTGCACTAGTTAGTGAACCAATGTACTAGTTAGTGTACCAGTGTACTGGTTACTGGTTAGTGTAGTAGTAAGTGTACTAGTTAGTGTACTAGTTAACTAGTTAATGTACTAGTTAGTGTACTAGTTAACTAGTTAGTGTACTAGTTAACTGGTTAGTGCACTAGTTAACTAGTTAGTATACTAGTCAGTGTACTAGTTAGTGTACTAGTTAACTAGTTAGTGTACTGGTTAGTGTACTGGTTAGTGTACTAGTTAGTCTACTAGTTAGTGTACTAGTTAACTAGTTAGTATACTAGTTAGTGTACTAGTTAACTATTAGTGTACTAGTTAGTGTACTAGTTTTATGTACTAGTTAACTGGTAGTGTACTAGTTAGCGTACTAGTTAACTCGTTAGTGTACTAGTTAGTGTACTAGTTAACTAGTTAGTGCACTAGTTAACTGGTCGGTGTACTAGTTAACTAGTTAGTATACTATTTAGTGTACTAGTAGTGCACTAGTTAACTAGTTAGTGTGCTAGTCAGTGAACTAGTTAGTGTAACTAGTTAGTGTACTAGTTAACTAGTTAATGTACTAGTCAGTGAACTAGTTAGTGTACTAGTTAGTGTACTAGTTAGTGTACTAGTTAGTGTACTAGTTAGTGTACTAGTGTACTAGTTAGTGTACTAGTTAGTGTACTAGTTAGTGTACTAGTTAGTGACTAGTTAGTGTACTAGTTAGTGTACTAGTTAGTGTACTAGTGTACTAGTTAGTGTACTAATTAGTGTACTAGTGTACTAGTTAGTGTACTAGTTAGTGTACTAGTGTACTAGTTAGTGTACTAGTTAGTGTACTAGTTAGTGTGGTAGTTACCAGAGCCCAGAGGGCCGCTTTCAGCCTCTTGATGTCTTCCCAGGAAGAAGCTGAAATGTTGCGGATGTCATTCACCAGGGCTGGGAAGATCTAGAAGACAATCAGTCACTCAGTCAGTCACTCAGTCAGTCAGTCACTCAGTCAGTCACTCAGTCAGTCACTCAGTCAGTCAGTCACTCAGTCAGTCAGTCACTCAGTCAGTCACTCAGTCAGTCAGTCACTCAGTCAGTCACTCAGTCACTCAGTCAGTTACTCACTCAGTCAGTCACTCAGTCAGTCAGTCACTCAGTCAGTCACTCAGTCAGTCACTCAGTCAGTCACTCAGTCAGTCAGTCACTCAGTCAGTCAGTCACTCAGTCAGTCACTCAGTCAGTCAGTCACTCAGTCAGTCACTCAGTCAGTCACTCAGTCAGTCACTCAGTCAGTCACTCAGTCAGTCACTCAGTCACTCAGTCAGTCACTCAGTCACTCAGTCAGTCACTCAGTCAGTCAGTCACTCAGTCACTCAGTCAGTCAGTCACTCAGTCGCTCAGTCAGTCACTCAGTCAGTCACTCACTCAGTCACTCAGTCAGTCACTCAGTCACTCAGTCACTCAGTCAGCCAGTCAGCCAGTCACTCAGTCAGTCAGTCACTCAGTCAGTCACTCAGTCAGTCAGTCACTCAGTCAGTCAGTCAATCACTCAGTCACTCAGTCAGTCACTCATTCAGTCACTCAGTCACTCAGCTCAGTCACTCAGTCAGTCACTCAGTCAGTCAGTCACTCAGTCAGTCAGTCACTCAGTCAGTCTGTCACTCAATCAGTCAGTCACTCAGTCAGTCACTCACTCACTCAGCCACTCACTCAGTCAGTCACTCAATCAGTCACTCAGTCACTCAGTCAGTCAAGTCACTCAGTCAGTCACTCGGTCAGTCACTCAGTCACTCACTCAGTCAGTCATCCACCCATCCGTGTCTAACTACCCCTGTCTAACTACTCTGTCTAACTACCCCTCTGTCTAACTACCCCTCTGTCTAACTACCCCTCTGTCTATCTACCCCTCTGTCTAACTACCCCTCTGTCTAACTACCCCTGTGTCTAACTACCCCTCTGTCTAACTACCCCTGTCTAACTACCCCTCTGTCTGACTACTCTGTCTAACTACCCCTCTGTCTAACTACCCCTCTGTCTAACTACTCTGTCTAACTACCCCTCTGTCTAACTACCCCTCTGTCTAACTACCCCTCTGTCTAACTACCCCTCTGTCTAACTACCCCTCTAACTACCCCTCTGTCTAACTACCCCTCTAACTACTCATGTGTCTGACTACCCCTCTAACTACCCCTCTGTCTAACTACCCCTCTAACTACCCCTCTGTCTAACTACTCTGTCTAACTACCCCTCTGTCTAACTACTCTGTCTAACTACCACACTGTCTAACTACCCCTCTGTCTAACTACTCTGTCTACTACCCCTCTGTCTAACTACCCCTCTGTCTGACTACTGTGTCTAACTACCCCTCTGTCTAACTACCCCCTCTGTCTAACTACCCCTCTGTCTAACTACTCTGTCTAACTACCCCTCTGTCTAACTACCCCTCTGTCTAACTACCCCTCTGTCTAACTACTCTGCCTAACTACCCCTCTGTCTAACTACCCCTGTGTCTAACTACCCCTGTGTCTAACTACCCCTCTGTCTAACTACCCCTCTGTCTAACTACTCTGCCTAACTACCCCTCTGTCTAACTACCCCTGTGTCTAACTACCCCTGTGTCTAACTACCCCTCTGTCTAACTACCCCTCTGTCTAACTACTCTGTCTAACTACCCCTCTGTCTAACTACCCCTCTGTCTAACTACTCTGTCTAACTACCCCTCTGTCTAACTACCCCTCTGTCTAACTACCCCTCTAGCTACCCCTCTGTCTGACTACTGTGTCTAACTACCCCTGTGTCTAACGAGCCCTCTGTCTAACTACCCCGTGTCTGCACCTGAGCTTCTAGGAGGCTGGATCCTGTCTTGTGGTTGCTGAGCTGTCCGTAGAAGTGTGGAGGCAGAAATACAGACGGGCGGGGAGTCCTGGACACACACAGAGAGACACAGAGACACTCACAGAGAGACACAGAGACAGTGAGACACACAGTGAGACAGAGAGACACTCACAGTGAGACACACAGTGAGACACAGAGACACTCACAGTGAGACACAGAGACAGTGAGACACAGAGACACAGAGACACTCACAGTGAGACACACACACAGTGAGACACAGAGACACTCACAGTGAGACACAGAGACACTCAGAGACACTCACAGTGAGACACACACACAGTGACACAGAGACACTCAGAGACACTCACAGTGAGACACAGAGACACTCACAGTGAGACACAGAGACACACACAGTGAGACACACAGACAGTGAGACACACACAGAGACACACACAGAGACACTCACAGTGAGACACACACACAGTGAGACAGAGAGACACAGAGACACACAGTGAGACACAGAGACAGTGAGACACAGAGACACTCACAGTGAGAGACACACAGTGAGACACACACAGTGAGACACAGAGACACAGAGACACACACAGTGAGACACAGAGACAGTGAGACACAGAGACACTCACAGTGAGACACAGAAACACACACAGTGAGACACACACAGTGAGACACAGAGACACTCACAGTGAGACACAGAAACACACACAGTGAGACACACACAGTGAGACACAGAGACACTCACAGTGAGACACACACAGTGAGACACACACAGAGACACTCACAGTGAGACACAGTGAGACACAGAGACACAGAGACACACACAGTGAGACACACACAGTGAGACACAGAGACACTCACAGTGAGACACACACAGAGACACAGAGACACACACAGTGAGACACAGAGACACAGAGACACTCACAGTGAGACACACACAGTGAGACACAGAGACACTCACAGTGAGACAGAGACACACACAGTGAGACACAGAGACACTCACAGTGAGACACACACACACAGTGAGACAGAGACACACACACAGTGAGACACAGAGACACTCACAGTGAGACACAGAGACACACACAGTGAGACACACACACAGTGAGGACACAGAGACACTCACAGTGAGACACAGAGACACTCACAGTGAGACACAGCGACAGACAGAGTGAGACACAGAGACACTCACAGTGAGACACAGAGACAGTGAGACACACACACACAGTGAGACACAGAGACACTCACAGTGAGACACAGAGACACACACAGTGAGACACACACACAGTGAGACACAGAGACACACACAGAGACACACAGTGAGAGACACACAGTGAGACACACACAGAGACACTCACAGTGAGACACAGAGACACTCACAGTGAGACACAGTGAGACACAGAGACACTCACAGTGAGACACACACAGTGAGAAACACACACAGTGACACAGAGACACTCAGAGACACACACAGTGAGACACATAGTGAGACAGAGAGACACAGAGACACTCACAGTGAGACACACACACACAGTGAGACACAGAGACACAGAGACACTCACAGTGAGACACACAGTGAGACACTCACAGTGAGACACAGAGACAGACAGAGACACACACAGTGAGACACACACAGTGAGACAGAGAGACACTCACAGTGAGACACAGAGACACACACAGTGAGACACAGAAACACACACAGTGAGACACACAGTGAGACACAGAGACACTCACAGTGAGACACACAGTGAGACACAGAGACACTCACAGTGAGACACACAGTGAGACACAGAGACACTCACAGTGAGACACAGAGACACAGTGAGACACACACACAGTGAGACACAGAGACACAGTGAGACACACACAGTGAGACACACACAGTGAGACACAGAGACAGACAGAGACACACACAGTGAGACACAGAGACACTCACAGTGAGACACACACACAGTGAGACACAGAGACACTCACAGTGAGACACAGAGACACTCACAGTGAGACACACACAGTGAGACACACACACAGTGAGACACAGAGACACACACAGTGAGACACAGAGACACTCACAGTGAGACACACACAGTGAGACACACACACAGTGAGACACAGAGACACACACAGTGAGACACACAGTGAGACACAGAGACACTCACAGTGAGACACACACACAGTGAGACACACACAGTGAGACACACACAGTGAGACACACACAGTGACACAGAGACAGACAGAGACACTCACAGTGAGACACACACACAGTGAGACACACACAGTGAGACACAGAGACACTCACAGTGAGACACACACAGTGAGAACACACACAGTGAGACACACACACTGAGACAGAGAGACACTCACAGTGAGACACACACACAGTGAGACACACACACAGTGAGACACAGAGACACTCACAGTGAGACACAGAGACACAGAGACACTCACAGTGAGACACACAGTGAGACACACACAGAGACACTCACAGTGAGACACACACACACACAGTGAGACAGAGACACACACAGTGAGACACAGAGACAGACAGAGACACACACAGTGAGACACACACACAGTGAGACAGAGAGACACAGAGACAGAGACACTCACAGTGAGACACACAGTGAGACACACACAGTGAGACACAGAGACACTCACAGTGAGACACACAGTGAGACACAGGGACACTCAGTGAGACACACAGTTAGACACAGCGACACACAGACAGAGACACTCACAGTGAGACACAGAGACACTCACAGTGAGACACACACACAGTGAGACACAGAGACACAGAGACAGAGACACTCACAGTGAGACACACAGTGAGACACACACAGTGAGACACAGAGACACTCACAGTGAGACACACAGTGAGACACAGAGACAGACAGAGACACTCACAGTGAGACAGAGACACACACAGTGAGACACAGAGACAGACAGAGTGAGACACAGAGACACTCACAGTTAGACACAGAGACAGAGACACACACAGAGACACACACAGAGACACAGAGACACACACAGAGACACTCACAGTGAGACACACAGTGAGACACACAGTGAGACACTCACAGTGAGACACACACACACACAGTGAGACACACAGTGAGACAGAGAGACACTCACAGTGAGACACACACACAGTGAGACACTCACAGTGAGACACAGAGACAGACAGAGACACTCACAGTGAGACAGAGACACACACAGTGAGACACAGAGACACAGAGACACTCACAGTGAGACACAGAGACAGACAGAGACACTCACAGTGAGACACACACAGTGAGACACAGAGACACTCACAGTGAGACAGAGAAACACAGAGACACTCACAGTGAGACACACACAGTGAGACACACACAGAGACACAGAGACACTCACAGTGAGACAGAGAGACACAGAGACACTCACAGTGAGACACACAGTGAGACAGAGAGACACAGAGACACTCACAGTGAGACACACACAGTGAGACACACAGTGAGACACACAGAGAGACACTCACAGTGAGACAGAGAGACACAGAGACACTCACAGTGAGACACTCACAGTGAGACACACAGAGACACACAGAGACACTCACAGTGAGACACTCACAGTGAGACACAGAGACACAGAGACACTCACAGTGAGACACAGAGACACAGAGACACTCACAGTGAGACAGAGAGACACAGAGACACTCACAGTGAGACACACAGTGAGACAGAGAGACACAGAGACACTCACAGTGAGACACACACAGTGAGACACACAGTGAGACACACAGAGAGACACTCACAGTGAGACAGAGAGACACAGAGACACTCACAGTGAGACACTCACAGTGAGACACACAGAGACACACAGAGACACTCACAGTGAGACACTCACAGTGAGACACAGAGACACAGAGACACTCACAGTGAGACACAGAGACACAGAGACACTCACAGTGAGACACAGAGACACAGAGACACTCACAGTGAGACAGAGAGACACGCACAGTGAGACAGAGAAACACAGAGACACTCACAGTGAGACACACAGTGAGACACTCACAGTGAGACACAGAGACACACACAGTGACACTCACGGTGAGACAGAGAGACACAGAGACACTCACAGTGAGACACAGAGACACTCACAGTGAGACACAGAGACACTCACAGTGAGACAGAGAGACACAGAGACACAGAGACACTCACAGTGAGACACAGAGACACAGAGACACACACAGTGAGACACAGAGACAGACAGAGTGAGACACAAAGACAGACAGAGTGAGACACAGAGACACACACAGTGAGACACAGAGACACAGAGACACACACAGAGACACTCACAGTGAGACAGAGACACTCACAGTGAGACACACACAGTGAGACACACACAGTGAGACACAGAGACAGACAGAGTGAGACACACACACAGTGAGACACAGCGACAGACAGAGACTCACACAGAGACACTCACAGTGAGACACAGAGACACAGAGACACTCACAGTGAGACACAGAGACAGACAGAGTGAGACACACACAGTGAGACACAGAGACAGACAGAGTGAGACACAGAGACACTCACAGTGAGACAGAGAGACACAGAGACACTCACAGTGAGACAGAGAGACACAGAGACACTCACAGTGAGACACACACAGAGACACAGAGACACACACAGAGACACTCACAGTGAGACACACACAGAGACACACACAGTGAGACATACACAGTGAGACACACACAGTGAGACACAGCGACACACAGACAGAGACACACACAGAGACACACACAGTGAGACAGAGAGACACAGAGACAGAGACACTCACAGTGAGACAGAGAGACACAGAGACACACACAGAGACACACACAGTGATACACACACAGAGACACACACAGTGAGACACACAGTGAGACACACACAGAGACACACACAGTGAGACACACACAGTGAGACAGAGAGACACACAGTGAGACACAGAGACACACACAGAGACACACACAGAGACACACACAGTGAGACACACACAGTGAGACAGAGAGACACACAGTGAGACACAGAGACACACAGAGTGAGACACACACAGTGAGACACACAGTGAGACACAGAGACACTCACAGTGAGACAGAGAGACACTCACAGTGAGACACACAGTGAGACACAGAGACACACAGAGACACACACACTGAGACACAGAGGCACACAGAGACACACACACAGTGAGACACATAGAGTGAGACACAGAGACACACAGAGAGACACACACAGTGAGACACAGAGACACAGAGACACACACAGTGAGACAGAGAGACACACAGACAGAGACACACACAGAGACACACAGAGACACACACAGAGACACACACAGAGAGACACACAGAGAGACACAGAGACACACACAGAGAGACACACACAGAGACACACACAGTGACACAAAGACTCACACAGTGAGACACAGAGACACAGAGAGACACACACAGAGACACACACAGAGACTCACAAAGACACAGAGACTCACACACAGACACAGACACCCCCGTGTCTCTCTCCCCGTGTCTCTCTCCGCGTGTCTCACCTCTGGTTAGATCTCCTCGTGTCTCCATGTCCACGTGTCCAGGTGGTTAAAGCATCGTTCAGATGTTGCTCAACAATGTCCACGTAGCGGATATTGTATTCCTGAGTCAGACAGCAGACAGACACGTGGTGGTGTCTGTCGCTGTCTCTCTCCGTGTCTCTGTGTCTCACCGTGTCTCTCTCTCCGTGTGTCTCTCTCCGTGTGTCTCTCTCCCCGTGTCTCTCTCACCGTGTCTCTCTCTCTGTCTCTCTCTCCCCGTGTCTCTCTCTCTCCCCGTGTCTCTCTCTCTCTCCGTGTCTCTCTCTCACCGTGTCTCTCTCTCCCCGTGTCTCTCTCTCTCCGTGTCTCTCTCTCCCCGTGTCTCTCTCTCTCTCCGTGTCTCTCTCTCCCCGTGTCTCTCTCCCCGTGTCTCTCTCTCCCCGTGTCTCTCTCTCCCCGTGTCTCTCTCCCCGTGTCTCTGTCTCCGTGTCTCTCTCACCGTGTCTCTGTCTCTGTCCCCGTGTCTCTCTCTCTCCCCGTGTCTCTCTCTCTCCCCGTGTCTCTCTCTCACCGTGTCTCTCTACCCGTGTCTCTATCTCCCTGTGTCTCTGTCTCACCGTGTCTCTCTCTCTCCCCGTGTCTCTCTCCCCGTGTCTCTCTCTCCCCGTGTCTCTCTCTCCCCGTGTCTCTCTGTCACCGTGTCTCTCTAACCCGTGTCTCTCTCCCCGTGTCTCTCTCTCCCCGTGTCTCTCTCTCTCCCCGTGTCTCTCTCTCCCCGTGTCTCTCTCCCCGTGTCTCTCTCTCCCCGTGTCTCTCTCTCCCCGTGTTTCTCTCTCCCCGTGTCTCTCTCTCCCCGTGTCTCTCTCCCCGTGTCTCTCTCTCCCCGTGTCTCTCTCTCCCCGTGTCTCTCTCTCTCCACGTGTCTCTCTCTCTCCCCGTGTCTCTCTCTCCCCGTGTCTCTCTCTCTCCCCGTGTCTCTCTCCCCGTGTCTCTCTCCCCGTCTCTCTCTCCCCGTGTCTCTCTCCCCGTGTCTCTCCCCGTGTCTCTCTCTCTCCCCGTGTCTCTCTCTCCCCGTGTCTCTCTCCCCGTGTCTCTCTCCCCGTGTCTCTCTCACTCACCGTGTCTCTCTCCCCGTGTCTCTCTCTCCCCGTGTTTCTCTCTCCCCGTGTCTCTCTCCCCGTGTCTCTCTCTCCCCGTGTCTCTCTCCCTGTGTCTCTCTCCCCGTGTCTCTCTCTCCCCATGTCTCTCTCTCTCCCCATGTCTCTCTCTCCCCGTGTCTCTCTCCCCGTGTCTCTCTCTCCCCGTGTCTCTCTCTCTCCACGTGTCTCTCTCTCTCCGTGTCTCTCCCCGTGTCTCTCTCTCCCCGTGTCTCTCTCTCCCCGTGTCTCTCTCTCTCCCCGTCTCTCTCTCTCCCCGTGTCTCTCTCTCCCCGTCTCTCTCTCTCCCCGTGTCTCTCTCTCCCCATGTCTCTCTCTCTCCCCGTGTCTCTTTCTCCCCGTGTCTCTCTCCCCGTGTCTCTCTCTCCCCGTGTCTCTCTCTCTCCACGTGTCTCTCTCTCTCCGTGTCTCTCCCCGTGTCTCTCTCTCCCCGTGTCTCTCTCTCCCCGTGTCTCTCTCTCTCCCCGTCTCTCTCTCTCCCCGTGTCTCTCTCTCCCCGTGTCTCTCTCTCTCCCCGTGTCTCTCTCTCCCCGTGTCTCTCTCCCCATGTCTCTCTCTCCCCGTGTCTCTCTCTCCCCGTGTCTCTCTCTCCCCGTGTCTCTCTCCCCGTGTCTCTCTCTCCCCGTGTCTCTCTCTCTCCCCGTGTCTCTCTCTCCCCGTGTCTCTCTCTCCCCGTGTCTCTCTCTCTCCCCGTATCTCTCTCTCTCCCCGTGTCTCTCTCTCTCCCCGTGTCTCTCTCTCTCCCCGTGTCTCTCTCTCCCCGTGTCTCTCTCCCCGTGTCTCTCTCCCCGTGTCTCTCTCCCCGTGTCTCTCTCTCTCCCCGTGTCTCTCTCTCCCCGTGTCTCTCTCTCCCCGTGTCTCTCTCCCCCCGTGTCTCTCTCTCTCCGTGTCTCTCTCTCCCCGTGTCTCTCTCTCTCCACGTGTCTCTCTCTCCCCGTGTCTCTCTCTCTCCCCGTGTCTCTCTCTCTCCCCGTGTCTCTCTCCCCGTGTCTCTCTCTCCCCGTGTCTCTCTCTCCCCGTGTCTCTCTCTCTCCCCGTGTCTCTCTCTCTCCCCGTCTCTCTCTCTCCCCGTGTCTCTTTCTCCCCGTGTCTCTCTCTTCCCGTGTCTCTCCCTCCCCGTGTCTCTCTCTCCGTGTCTCTCTCCCCGTGTCTCTCTCTCCCCGTGTCTCTCTCTCTCCCCCTGTCTCTCTCTCCCCGTGTCTCTCTCTCCGTGTCTCTCTCCCCATGTCTCTCTCTCCCCGTGTCTCTCTCCGCGTGTCTCTCTCCCCGTGTCTCTCACCCCGTGTCTCTCTCTCCCTGTCTCTCTCTCCCCGTGTCTCTCTCCCCGTGTCTCTCTCTCCCCGTGTCTCTCTCCCCGTGTCTCTCTCCCCGTGTCTCTCACCCCGTGTCTCTCTCTCCCTGTCTCTCTCTCCCCGTGTCTCTCTCTCTCCGTGTCTCTCTCTCTCCCCGTGTCTCTCTCTCCCCGTGTCTCTCTTTCTACCCGTGTCTCTCTCTCTCCCCATGTCTCTCTCCCCATGTCTCTCTCTCTCACCGTGTCTCTATCCCCGTGTCTCTCTCTCCCCGTGTCTCTCTCTCCCCGTGTCTCTCTCCCCGTGTCTCTCTCGCCCCGTCTCTCTCTCCCCGTGTCTCTCTCCCCGTGTCTCTCTCTCCCCATGTCTCTCTCACCCCGTGTCTCTCTCCCCGTGTCTCTCTCTCCGTGTCGCTCTCTCTCCCCGTGTCTCTCTCCCCGTGTCTCTCTCTCCGTGTCTCTCTCTCCCCGTGTCTCTCTCTCCCCGTGTCTCTCTCTCCCCGTGTCTCTCTTTCTACCCGTGTCTCTCTCTCTCCCCATGTCTCTCTCCCCGTGTCTCTCTCTCTCACCGTGTCTCTATCCCCGTGTCTCTCTCTCCCCGTGTCTCTCTCTCCCCGTGTCTCTCTCCCCGTGTCTCTCTCGCCCCGTGTCTCTCTCCCCGTGTCTCTCTCCCCGTGTCTCTCTCTCCCCATGTCTCTCTCACCCCGTGTCTCTCTCCCCGTGTCTCTCTCTCCCCGTGTCTCTCTCTCTCCCCGTGTCTCTCTCCCCGTGTCTCTCTCCCCGTGTCGCTCTCTCTCCCCGTGTCTCTCTCCCCGTGTCTCTCTCTCCGTGTCTCTCTCTCCCCGTGTCTCTCTCTCCCCATGTCTCTCTCTCCCCGTGTCTCTCTCTCGCCGTGTCTCTCTCTCTCCCCATGTCTCTCTCCCCGTGTCTCTCTCTCCCCGTGTCTCTCTCTCCCCGTGTCTCTCTCCCCGTGTCTCTCTCTCCCCGTGTCTCTCTCTCCCCGTGTCTCTCTCTCTCCACGTGTCTCTCTCTCCCCGTGTCTCTCTCTCCCCGTGTCTCTCTCTCTCCCCGTGTCTCTCTCCCCGTGTCTCTCTCCCTGTCTCTCTCTCCCCGTGTCTCTCTCCCCGTGTCTCTCCCCGTGTCTCTCTCTCTCCCCGTGTCTCTCTCTCCCCGTGTCTCTCTCTCCCCGTGTCTCTCTCTCTCCCCGTGTCTCTCTCTCACCGTGTCTCTCTCTCCCCGTGTCTCTCTCTCCCCATGTGTCTCTCTCTCTCCACGTGTCTCTCTCTCCCCGTGTCTCTCTCTCCCCGTGTCTCTCTCTCTCACCGTGTCTCTCTCCCCATGTCTCTCTCTCCCCGTGTTTCTCTCTCCCCGTGTCTCTCTCCCCGTGTCTCTCTCTCCCCGTGTCTCTCTCCCTGTGTCTCTCTCCCCGTGTCTCTCTCTCCCCGTGTCTCTCTCTCCCCGTGTCTCTCTCCCCATGTCTCTCTCTCCCCGTGTCTCTCTCTCCCCGTGTCTCTCTCCCCGTGTCTCTCTCTCCCCGTGTCTCTCTCTCTCCACGTGTCTCTCTCTCCCCGTGTCTCTCTCTCCCCGTGTCTCTCTCTCCCCGTGTCTCTCTCCCCGTGTCTCTCTCTCTCCCCGTCTCTCTCTCTCCCCGTGTCTCTCTCCCCGTGTCTCTCTCTCCCCGTGTCTCTCTCTCTCCCCGTGTCTCTCTCTCCCCGTGTCTCTCTCCCCGTGTCTCTCTCTCCCCGTGTCTCTCTCTCCCCGTGTCTCTCTCCCCGTGTCTCTCTCTCCCCGTGTCTCTCTCTCTCCCCGTGTCTCTCTCTCCCCGTGTCTCTCTCTCCCCGTGTCTCTCTCTCTCCCCGTGTCTCTCTCTCTCCCCGTGTCTCTCTCTCTCCCCGTGTCTCTCTCTCTCCCCGTGTCTCTCTCTCCCCGTGTCTCTCTCCCAGTGTCTCTCTCCCCGTGTCTCTCTCTCTCCCCGTGTCTCTCTCTCCCCGTGTCTCTCTCTCCCCGTATCTCTCTCCCCCCGTGTCTCTCTCTCTCCGTGTCTCTCTCTCCCCGTGTCTCTCTCTCTCCACGTGTCTCTCTCTCCCCGTGTCTCTCTCTCTCCCCGTGTCTCTCTCTCTCCCCGTGTCTCTCTCCCCGTGTCTCTCTCTCCCCGTGTCTCTCTCTCCCCGTGTCTCTCTCTCTCCCCGTGTCTCTCTCTCTCCCCGTCTCTCTCTCTCCACGTGTCTCTCTCTCCCCGTGTCTCTCTCTCTCCCCGTGTCTCTCTCTCCCCGTGTCTCTCTCTCTCCCCGTGTCTCTCTCTCCCCATGTCTCTCTCTCTCCCCGTGTCTCTCTCTCTCCCCGTCTCTCTCTCTCCCCGTGTCTCTCTCTCTCCCCGTGTCTCTCTCTCTCCCCGTGTCTCTCTCTCCCCGTGTCTCTCACCCCGTGTCTCTCTCCCCGTCTCTCTCTCTCCCCGTGTCTCTCTCTCCCCGTGTCTCTCTCTCCCCGTGTCTCTCTCTCTCCCTGTGTCTCTCTCTCCCCGTGTCTCTCTCTCTCCCCGTGTCTCTCTCTCTCCCCGTGTCTCTCTCTCTCTCCCCGTCTCTCTCTCTCCACGTGTCTCTCTCTCCCCGTGTCTCTCTCTCTCTCCCTGTGTCTCTCTCCCCGTGTCTCTCCCCGTGTCTCTCTCTCTCCCCGTCTCTCTCTCTCCCCATGTCTCTCTCTCTCCCCGTGTCTCTCTCTCTCCCCGTGTCTCTCTCTCCCCATGTCTCTCACCCCGTGTCTCTCTCCCCGTGTCTCTCTCTCTCCCCGTGTCTCTCTCTCTCCCCGTGTCTCTCTCCCCGTGTCTCTCTCCCCGTCTCTCTCTCTCCCCGTGTCTCTCTCTCTCGCCGTGTCTCTCTCTCTCCCCGTGTCTCTCTCTCCCCATGTCTCTCACCCCGTCTCTCTCTCTCCCCGTGTCTCTCTCTCTCCCCATGTCTCTCTCTGTCCCCGTGTCTCTCTCTCTCCCCGTGGCTCTCTCTCCCCGTGTCTCTCTCTCTCCCCGTGTCTCTCTCTCCCCGTGTCTCTCTCTCCCCGTGTCTCTCTCTCTCTCCCTGTGTCTCTCTCCCCGTGTCTCTCCCCGTGTCTCTCTCTCTCCCCGTCTCTCTCTCTCCCCATGTCTCTCTCTCTCCCCGTGTCTCTCTCTCTCCCCGTGTCTCTCTCTCTCCGTGTCTCTCTCCCCGTGTCTTTCTCTCCCCATGTCTCTCTCTCCCCGTGTCTCTCTCTCCCCGTGTCTCTCTCTCTCCCCGTGTCTCTCTCTCCCCGTGTCTCTCTCTCTCCCCGTGTGTGTCTCTCTCTCCCCGTGTCTCTCTCTCTCTCCCCGTGTCTCTCTCTCTCCCCGTGTCTCTCTCTCCCCGTGTCTCTCTCTCTCCCCGTGTCTCTCTCTCTCCCCGTGTCTCTCTCTCTCCGTGTCTCTCTCTCCCCGTGTCTCTCTCTCTCCCCATGTCTCTCTCTCCCCGTGTCTCTCTCTCCCCGTGTCTCTCTCTCTCCCCGTGTCTCTCTCTCTCCCCGTGTCTCTCTCTCTCCCCGTGTCTCTCTCTCCGTGTCTCTCTCTCTCCCCGTGTCTCTCTCTCCCCGTGTCTCTCTCTCCCCGTGTCTCTCTCCCCGTGTCTCTCCCCCCGTGTCTCTCTCTCCCCGTGTCTCTCTCTCTCTCTCCGTGTCTCTCTCTCCCCATGTCTCTCTCTCTCCCCGTGTCTCTCTCTCTCCCCGTGTCTCTGTCCCCGTGTCTCTCTCTCCCCGTGTCTCTCTCTCTCTCTCTCTCCGTGTCTCTCTCTCTCCCCGTCTCTCTCTCTCCACGTGTCTCTCTCTCCCCGTGTCTCTCTCTCTCCCCGTGTCTCTCTCTCTCCCCGTGTCTCTCTCTCTCCGTGTCTCTCTCCCCGTGTCTTTCTCTCCCCATGTCTCTCTCTCCCCGTGTCTCTCTCTCCCCGTGTCTCTCTCTCTCCCCGTGTCTCTCTCTCCCCGTGTCTCTCTCTCTCCCCGTGTGTGTCTCTCTCTCCCCGTGTCTCTCTCTCTCCCCGTGTCTCTCTCTCTCCCCGTGTCTCTCTCTCCCCGTGTCTCTCTCTCTCCCCGTGTCTCTCTCTCTCCCCGTGTCTCTCTCTCTCCGTGTCTCTCTCTCCCCGTGTCTCTCTCTCTCCCCGTGTCTCTCTCTCCCCGTGTCTCTCTCTCCCCGTGTCTCTCTCTCTCCCCGTGTCTCTCTCTCTCCCCGTGTCTCTCTCTCTCCCCGTGTCTCTCTCTCCGTGTCTCTCTCTCTCCCCGTGTCTCTCTCTCCCCGTGTCTCTCTCTCCCCGTGTCTCTCTCCCCGTGTCTCTCCCCCCGTGTCTCTCTCTCCCCGTGTCTCTCTCTCTCTCTCCGTGTCTCTCTCTCCCCGTGTCTCTCTCTCTCCCCGTGTCTCTCTCCGTGTCTCTCTCCCCGTGTCTCTCTCTCTGTCCCCGTGTCTCTCTCTCTCCCCGTGTCTCTCTCTCTCCCCGTGTCTCTCTCTCCCGTGTCTCTCTCTCCCCATGTCTCTCTCCCCGTGTCTCTCTCTCCCGTGTCTCTCTCTCCCGGTGTCTCTCTCTCTCCCCGTGTCTCTCTCTCTCCCAGTGTCTCTCTCTCTCCCCGTGTCTCTCTCTCTCTCTCCCTTTGTCTCTCTCCCCGTGTCTCTCTCCCTGTGTCTCTCCCCCCGTGTCTCTCTCTCCCCGTGTCTCTCTCCCTGTGTCTCTCCCCCCCGTGTCTCTCTCTCACCGTGTCTCTCTCTCTCCCCGTGTCTCTCTCTCTCCCCGTGTCTCTCTCTCCCCGTGTCTCTCTCTCTCCTCGTGTCTCTCTCTCTCCCCGTGTCTCTCTCTCTGTCCCCGTGTCTCTCTCTCCCTGTGTCTCTCTCTCCCCGTGTCTCTCACCGTGTCTCTCTCCCCGTGTCTCTCTCTCTCCCCGTGTCTCTCTCTCTCCCCGTGTCTCTCTCTGTCCCCGTGTCTCTCTCTCTCCCCGTGTCTCTCTGTCCCCGTGTCTCTCTCACCGTGTCTCTCTCTCTCCCCGTCTCTCTCTCTCTCCCCGTGTCTCTCTCTCTCCCCGTGTCTCTCTCTCTCCCCGTGTCTCTCTCTCTCCCCGTGTCTCTTTCTCTCTCCCCGTGTCTCTCTCTCCCCGTGTCTCTCTCTCTCCCCGTGTCTCTCTCTCTCCCCGTGTCTCTCTCTCTCCCCGTGTCTCTCTCTCTCCCCGTGTCTCTCTCTGTCCCCGTGTCTCTCTCTCTCCCCGTGTCTCTCTCTGTCCCCGTGTCTCTCTCTCTCCCCGTGTCTCTCTCTGTCCCCGTGTCTCTCTCTCTCTCTCCCCGTGTCTCTTACCCTACGCCAACGCTCCAACTCTTTTGTGATGAATCCACGTTCGTTCAAGTAGCTGAACCCCTTGGAGATCGATGCAAATCTGGTGGAGACAGACGGATATCACTACTAGTTAGTGCTAGTACTAACTAGTACTAACACTAGTACTAGCACTAGTTAGTACTAGTACTAGTGTTAGTACTAGTGTTAGTACTAACACTAGCACTAGTGACTAGTGTTAGTTGGATGTGGTAGTGATGTTGTTGTGATGGTTGTGGTTAAGTACTAGTTAGTGGTAGTTACTACTAGATAGTACTAGTAGTGGTAGTTAATACTAGCTAAGTACTAGTTAGTGGTAGTTGGTACTGGTTAAGTACTAGTTAGTCGTAGCACGTACTAGTCAAGTGCTAGTTAGCGGTAGTTAGTGTTGGATCGTGGTAGTTAAGTACTAGTTAGTGGCAGTTAGTACTAGTTAAGTGCTAGTTAGTATTAGTTCTAGTTAGCGATAGTTCGTGGTGGTTGGTGGTAGGTAAGTACTAGTTAGGTACTAGTTAGTGGTGGCTAGTGGTAGTTAGTACTAGTTAAGTACTAGTTAGCGGTAGTAAATTACTGGTTAGCGGTAGTTAAGTACTAGTTAGTGGTAGTCAGTACTAGCTAACTAGTTAGTACTAGTTAAGTGCTAGTTAGTACTAGATAACTACTAGTTAAGTGCTAGTTAAATACTAGTTAAGTACCAGTTAGTGGTAGTTTGTACTAGTTAACTACTAGTTAGTGATAGTTAGTACTAGTCAAGTGCTAGTTAGTGATAGTTAGTACTGGTTAAGTACTAGTTAGTACTAGATAACTACTAGTTAACTGCTAGTTAAGTACCAGTTAGTGGTAGTGTGTACTAGTAAACTACTAGTTAGTGATAGTTATGTACTAGTTAAGTGCTAGTTAGCGGTAGTTGGTACTAGTTAAGTGCTAGTTAACTGGTTGGTATTAGTTAAGTGCTAGTTAAGTACTAGTTAACTAGTTAGTGCTGGTTGACTACTGGTTAGTGGTAGTTAGTAATTGTCAACTACTAGTTAACTAGTTAGTACTAGTTAACTGCTAGTTTGTGATAGTTAACTAGTAGTTAAGTACTAGTTAAGTACTAGTTGACTGGTTAGTACTAGTTAACTGTTAGTTAAGTGCTAGTTAACTATAGTACTAGTCAACTACGAGTTAGTGGTAGTTAGTACTTGTTAACTACAAGTTAACTATTTAGTACTAGTTAACTACAAGTTAAGTACTAGTTAAGTACTAGTTAGTACCAGTTAAGTACTAGTTAGTTAGTGCTAGTTGAGTGCTAGTTAGTACTAGTTAAGTACTAGTTAACTAGTTAGTGCTAGTTAAGTGCTAGTTAGTGCTATTGAAGTGCTAGTTAAGTATTAGTTACTAGTTAACTGCTGGCTAGTACTAGTTTACTACTAGTTAAGTACTAGTTAAGTACTAGTTAGTACTAGTTACGTACTAGTTAAGTACTAGTTAACTAGTTAGTGCTAGTTAAGTGCTAGTTAGTGCTATTTAAGTACTAGTTAAGTATTAGTTAACTAGTTAGTACTAGTTAACTGCTGGTTAGTACTAGTTTACTACTAGTTAAGTACTAGTTAAGTACTAGTTAACTAGTTAGTCATCACCGTATCAGCAGGAGTGCTCCACTCTCTCCAAGGTGGGATAGAGCCGGCTTCATCTGCACCAGCGCATGCAGATTGGCCTGCAAATCACAACAACAACATCATCAACATCAACAACATCATCATCAACATCAACAACATCACAACAACAACATCAACATCAACAACATCAACAACAACATCAACAACATCAACAACATCAACAACAACATCACCAACATCAACAACATCAAGAACAACATCAACAACATCATCATCAACATCACCATCAACAATAACAACATCAACAACAACAACCACAACCATCACAACAACAACAACAACATCAACAACAACATCAACAACAACATCAACAACAACAACATCAACAACAACAACATCAACAACAACATCAACAACAACAACATCAACATCATCAACACAACAACATCACAACAACAATATCACAACCACCACAACAAGTGGGTGAGTGAGTGGGTGAGTGAGTGAGTGGGTGAGTGAGTGAGTGAGTGGGTGAGTGAGTGAGTGGGTGAGTGAGTGAGTGAGTGGGTGAGTGAGTGAGTGGGTGGGTGAGTGGGTGGGTGAGTGGGTGAGTGGGTGGGTGAGTGGGTGAGTGGGTGGGTGAGTGGGTGAGTGAGTGGGTGGGTGAGTTGGTGAGTGGGTGAGTGAGTGGGTGAGTGAGTGAGTGAGTGGGTGAGTGGGTGAGTGGGTGGGTGAGTGGGTGGGTGAGTGGGTGGGTGAGTGGGTGAGTGAGTGGGTGAGTGAGTGAGTGGGTGGGTGAGTGGGTGGGTGAGTGGGTGGGTGAGTGGGTGAGTGGGTGCGTGAGTGGGTGAGTGAGTGGGTGAGTGAGTGAGTGAGTGGGTGAGTGAGTGAGTGGGTGAGTGAGTGAGTGGGTGAGTGAGTGGGTGGGTGAGTTGGTGAGTGGGTGAGTGAGTGGGTGAGTGAGTGAGTGAGTGGGTGAGTGGGTGAGTGGGTGGGTGAGTGGGTGGGTGAGTGGGTGAGTGAGTGGGTGAGTGAGTGGGTGAGTGAGTGAGTGAGTGGGTGAGTGAGTGGGTGAGTGAGTGAGTGAGTGGGTGAGTGAGTGAGTGGGTGGGTGAGTGAGTGGGTGAGTGAATGGGTGAGTGAGTGGGTGAGTGAGTGAGTGGGTGAGTGAGTGGGTGGGTGAGTGGGTGGGTGAGTGAGTGAGTGGGTGAGTGGGTGGGTGAGTGAGTGGGTGAGTGAGTGGGTGAGTGAGTGAGTGAGTGGGTGAGTGAGTGAGTGAGTGGGTGGGTGGGTGAGTGGGTGGGTGAGTGGGTGAGTGGGTGAGTGAGTGAGTGGGTGGGTGGGTGAGTGGGTGAGTGAGTGGGTGGGTGAGTGACTGAGTGACTGAGTGAGTGACTGAGTGGGTGAGTGAGTGAGTGAGTGACTGACTGAGTGGTTGAGTGAGTGAATGAGTGAGTGGGTGAGTGAGTGAGTGATTGGGTGAGCGTGTTGGTGAGTGTGGTGGTGGTGGTGAGTGTGGTGGTGGTGAGTGTGGTGGTGGTGGTGGTGAGCGTGGTGGTGGTGAGCGGCTCACCTTATCGTCACAGGCCTCGTGTAGGATGGTGAGTGCGTGGTGAGCGACGCTTGGTGAAGGGTCGTGTAGCTGGGTGAGTGGGTGAGTGAGTGAGTGGGTGAGTGAGTGGGTGGGTGGGTGAGTGAGTGAGTGAGTGGGTGAGTGACTGACTGAGTGAATGGGTGAGTGAGTGAGTGGGTGAGTGAGCGAGTGAGTGAGTGGGTGAGTGAGTGAGTGGGTGAGTGAGTGAGTGGGTGGGTGGGTGAGTGAGTGGGTGGGTGAGTGGGTGAGTGAGTGAGTGAGTGGGTGAGTGAGTGAGTGGGTGAGTGAGTGAGTGAGTGGGTGAGTGAGTGGGTGAGTGGGTGAGTGGGTGGGTGGGTGAGTGAGTGAGTGAGTGGGTGAGTGAGTGAGTGAGTGACTGACTGAGTGGTTGAGTGAGTGGGTGAGTGAGTGAGTGGGTGAGTGAGTGGGTGAGTGAGTGAATGGGTGAGCGTGTTGGTGAGCGTGGTGGTGGTGAGTGTGGTGGTGGTGGTGGTGGTGAGTGTGGTGGTGGTGGTGGTGAGCGTGGTGGTGGTGAGCGGCTCACCTTATCGTCACAGGCCTCGTGCAGGATGGTGAGTGCGTGGTGAGCGACGCTTGGTGAAGGGTCGTGTAGCTGGGTGAGTGGGTGGGTGAGTGAGTGAGTGAGTGGGTGAGTGAGTGGGTGGGTGAGTGAGTGAGTGAGTGGGTGAGTGAGTGAGTGGGTGAGTGAGTGAGTGAGTGGGTGAGTGAGTGAGTGGGTGGGTGGGTGAGTGAGTGAGTGAGTGGGTGAGTGAGTGAGTGAGTGACTGACTGAGTGGTTGAGTGAGTGGGTGAGTGAGTGAGTGGGTGAGTGAGTGGGTGAGTGAGTGAGTGAGTGGGTGAGTGAGTGAGTGGGTGGGTGGGTGAGTGAGTGAGTGAGTGGGTGAGTGAGTGGGTGAGTGAGTGAGTGAGTGACTGACTGAGTGGTTGAGTGAGTGGGTGAGTGAGTGAGTGGGTGAGTGAGTGGGTGAGTGAGTGAATGGGTGAGCGTGTTGGTGAGTGTGGTGTTGGTGAGCGTGGTGAGCGTGGTGGTGGTGAGCGGCTCACCTTATCGTCACAGGCCTCGTGCAGGATGGTGAGTGCGTGGTGAGCGACGCTTGGTGAAGGGTCGTGTAGCTGGGTGAGCAGTAGCTCCACCCCCCAGTTCGTAAAGAAGTCCACCCCAATACGGAGCAGCACTCGGAGGTGGAGCGTGGCGTAGACACGGGTGGACTACGTGGGGTGACAATCAGTCACTCAGTCAGTCACTCAGTCAGTCACTCAGTCAGTCAGTCAGACACTCACTCACTCACTCACCCACTCACTCACCCACTCACTCAACCACTCACCCAGTCAGTCAGTCAGTCACTCACTCAGTCACTCACTCACCCACTCACTCACTCACCCACTCACTCACTCACCCACTCACTCACCCACTCACTCACTCACCCACACACTCACCCACTAAGTCCACCCCAATACGGAGCAGCACTCGGAGGTGGAGCGTGGCGTAGACACGGGTGGACTACGTGGGGTGACAATCAGTCACTCAGTTAGTGACTCAGTCAGTCAGGCAGTCAGTCAGTCAGTCACTCAGTTACTCAGTCAGTCACTCACCCACTCACTCACTCAGTCACTCAGTCACTCAGTCAGTCACCCACTCACTCACTCACTCAGTCAGTCACTCACTCACTCACTCACCCACTCACCCACTAACTCACTCACTCACTCACCCACTCAGCCACTCACTCACTCACTCACTCACCCACTCACTCACTCACTCAGCCACTCACTCACCCACTCACCCACCCACTCACCCACCCACTCACCCACCCACTCACCCACCCACTCACTCACCCACCCACTCACCCACCCACCCACCCACTCACCCACCCTCCCACCCACTCAACCACCCACCCACCCACTCACCCACTCACCCACCCACTCACTCACTCACTCACCCACTCACCCACCCACTCACCCACTCACTCACCCACTCACTCACCCACCCACCCACTCAACCACCCACCCACCCACTCACTCACTCACCCACCCACTCACTCACCCACTCACTCACTCACCCACTCACCCACCCACTCACCCACTCACCCACCCACTCACCCACTCACTCACCCACTCACTCACCCACCCACCCACCCACTCACCCACCCTCCCACCCACTCAACCACCCACCCACCCACTCACCCACTCACCCACCCACTCACTCACTCACTCACCCACTCACCCACCCACTCACCCACTCACTCACCCACTCACTCACCCACCCACCCACTCAACCACCCACCCACCCACTCACTCACTCACCCACCCACTCACTCACCCACTCACCCACTCACCCACTCACTCACTCACCCACTCACTCACTCACCCACTCACTCACTCACTCACTCACCCACTCACTCACTCACTCACCCACTCACTCACCCACTCACTCACCCACTCACCCACTCACTCACTCACTCACCCACCCACTCACCCACCCACTCACTCACCCACTCACTCACCCACCCACCCACTCAACCACCCACCCACCCACTCACTCACTCACCCACTCACCCACTCACTCACCCACCCACTCACTCACTCACTCACCCACTCACCCACCCACTCACCCACCCACTCACCCACTCACTCACTCACCCACTCACCCACTCACTCACCCACCCACTCACTCACTCACTCACCCACTCACCCACTCACTCACTCACCCACTCACTCACTCACTCAGTCACTCATTCAGTCACTCACTCACTCACTCAGTCACTCACTCACTCACTCAGTCACTCACTCACTCACTCAGTCACTCACTCAGTCACTCACTCAGTCACTCACTCACTCACTCAGTCACTCACTCACTCAGTCACTCACTTACTCACTAAGTCCACCCCAATACGCAAAAGGACACGCAGAGTGAGTGTCTGAGTGAGTGAGTGAGTAACTGAGTGAGTGACTGAGTGAGCGAGTGTCAGAGTGAGTGACTGAGTGAGTGTCTGAGTGAGAGACTGAGTGACTGAGTGAGTGACTGAGTGAGTGTCTGAGTGAGTGAGTGACTGAGTGAGCGAGTGTCAGAGTGAGTGAGTGAGTGACTGAGTGACTGAGTGAGTGAGTGACTGAGTGAGTGTCTGAGTGAGTGACTGAGTGAGTGAGTGTCTGAGTGAGCGAGTGTCAGAGTGAGTGACTGAGTGAGTGAGTGTCTGAGTGAGTGAGTGTCAGAGTGAGTGTCAGAGTGAGTGAGTGAGTGTCTGAGTGAGTGAGTGTCTGAGTGAGTGAGTGTCAGAGTGAGTGAGTGAGTGTCTGAGTGAGTGAGTGTCTGAGTGAGTGTCTGAGTGAGCGAGTGTCAGAGTGAGTGAGCGAGTGTCTGAGTGAGTGTCTGAGTGAGAGAGTGTCTGAGTGAGTGTCTGAGTGAGTGACTGAGTGAGCGAGTGTCTGAGTGAGTGTCTGAGTGAGTGTCTGAGTGAGAGAGTGTCTGAGTGAGTGAGTAAGTGAGTGAGTGTCTGAGTGAGCGAGTGTCAGAGTGAGTGAGTGAGTGTCTGAGTGAGTGACTGAGTGAGTGAGTGTCTGAGTGAGTGTCTGAGTGAGAGAGTGTCTGAGTGAGTGACTGAGTGAGTGTCTGAGTGAGTAAGTGTCAGAGTGAGTGAGTGAGTGTCTGAGTGAGTGTCTGAGTGAGTGAGTGAGTGTCTAAGTGAGTGTCTAAGTGAGTGTCTAAGTGAGTGTCTAAGTGGGTGTCTAAGTGAGTGTCTAAGTGGGTGTCTAAGTGAGTGAGTGAGTGTCTAAGTGAGTGTCTAAGTGAGTGTTTAAATGAGTGAGTGAGTGTCTAAGTGAGTGTCTAAGTGAGTGTCTAAGTGAGTGTTTAAGTGAGTGAGTGTGTAAGTGAGTGTCTAAGTGAGTGAGTGTATGAGTGAGAGAGTGACTGAGTGAGTGAGTGTCTGAGTGAGTGAGTGTCTGAGTGAGCGAGTGTCAGAGTGAGTGAGTGAGTGACTGAGTGAGTGAGAGTCTGAGTGAGAGAGTGTCTGAGTGAGTGACTGAGTGAGTGTCTGAGTGAGTGAGTGTCTAAGAGAGTGATTGAGTGAGTGTCTGAGTGTCTGAGTGAGTGAGTGTCTGAGTGAGTGAGTGTCTAAGTGAGTGTCTAAGTGAGTGTCTAAGTGAGTGTTTAAATGAGTGAGTGAGTGTCTAAGTGAGTGTCTAAGTGAGTGTCTAAGTGAGTGTTTGAGTGAGTGAGTGTGTAAGTGAGTGTCTAAGTGAGTGAGTGTGTGAGTGAGTGGGTGACTGAGTGAGTGTCTAAGTGAGTGTCTAAGTGAGTGTCCAAGTGAGTGTTTAAGTGAGTGAGTGAGTGTCTAAATGAGTGTCTAAGTGAGTGAGTGAGTGTGAGTGGGTGAGTGTCTGAGTGAGTGTCTGAGTGAGTGAGTGTCTAAGTGAGTGTCTAAGTGAGTGAGTGAGTGTCTAAGTGAGTGAGTGTCTAAGTGAGTGTCTAAGTGAGTGAGTGAGTGTATGAGTGAGTGGATAACTGAGTGAGTGTCTAAGTGAGTGTCTAAGTGAGTGAGTGAGTGTCTAAGTGAGTGTCTAAGTGAGTGTCTAAGTGTCTAAGTGAGTGTCTAAGTGAGTGTCTAAGTGAGTGTCTAAGTGAGTGTCTGAGTGTCTAGGTGAGTGTCTAAGTGAGTGTCTAAGTGAGTGACTGAGTGAGTGTCTAAGTGAGTGACTGAGTGAGTGGCTAAATGAGTGTCTAAATGAGTGTCTAAGTGAGTGAGTGAGTGTCTGAGTGAGTGTCTGAGTGACTGAGTGAGTGTCTGAGTGAGTGAGTGTCTAAGTGAGTGTCTAAGTGAGTGAGTGAGCGCCTAAGTGAGTGTCTACGTGAGTCTCTGAGTGAGTGTCTGAGTGAGCGAGTGTCTAAGTGAGTGAGTGTCTGAGTGAGTGAGTGTCAGAGTGAGTGTCTGAGTGAGTGTCTGAGTGAGTGTCTGAGTGAGTGAGTGTCTGAGTGAGTGTCTAAGTGAGTGAGTGTCTGAGTGTCTGAGTGAGAGAGTGTCTGAGTGACTGAGTAAGCGAGTGAGTGAGTGACTGAGTGTCTGAGTGAGTGTCAGAGTGAGTGAGTGTCTGAGTGAGTGAGTGTGTGAGTGAGTGAGTGTGTGAGTGAGTGTGTGGGTGAGTGTATGAGTGAGTGACTGAGTGAGTGCGTGTCTGAGTGAGTGTCTAAGTGAGTGAGTGAGTGTCTAAGTGAGTGTCTAAGTGAGTGAGTGAGTGAGTGAGTGTCTAAGTGAGTGTCTAAGTGAGTGTCTAAGTGAGTGTCTAAGTGAGTGAGTGTGTAAGTGAGTGTCTAAGTGAGGGAGTGAGTGTCTAAGTGAGTGAGTGAGTGTCTAAGTGAGTGTCTAAGTGAGGGAGTGAGTGTCTAAGTGAGTGAGTGAGTGTCTAAGTGAGTGTCTAAGTGAGGGAGTGAGTGTCTAAGTGAGTGAGTGAGTGTTTAAGTGAGTGTCTAAATGAGTGTCTAAGTGAGTGTCTAAGTGAATGAGTGTCTAAGTGAGTGTCTAAGTGAGTGTCTAAGTGAATGAGTGTCTAAGTGAGTGTCTAAGTGTCTAAGTGAGTGTCTAAGTGAGTGTCTAAGTGAGTGTCTAAGTGAGTGTCTAAGTGTCTAAGTGAGTGTCTAAGTGAGTGTCTAAGTGAGTGAGTGAGTGTCCAAGTGTCTAAGTGAGTGTCTAAGTGTCTAAGTGAGTGTCTAAGTGAGTGTCTAAGTAAGTGTCTAAGTGAGTGTCTAAGTGAGTGTCTAAGTGTCTAAGTGAGTGTCTAAGTGAGTGTCTAAGTGAGTGTCTAAGTGAGTGAGTGAGTGTCTAAGTGAGTGTCTAAGTGAGTGTCTAAGTGAGTGAGTGAGTGTCTAAGTGAGTGTCTAAGTGAGTGTCTAAGTGAGTGTCTAAGTGGGTGTCTAAGTGAGTGAGTGAGTGTCTAAGTGAGTGTCTAAGTGAGTGTTTAAATGAGTGAGTGAGTGTCTAAGTGAGTGTTTAAGTGAGTGTCTAAGTGAGTGTTTAAGTGAGTGAGTGTGTAAGTGAGTGTCTAAGTGAGTGAGTGTATGAGTGAGAGAGTGACTGAGTGAGTGAGTGTCTGAGTGAGTGAGTGTCTGAGTGAGCGAGTGTCTGAGTGAGTGAGTGTCTGAGTGAGTGTCTGAGTGAGTGAGTGACTGAGTGAGTGAGTGTCTGAGTGAGAGAGTGTCTGAGTGAGTGACTGAGTGA